GAAAGAAGTTGAGTTTCAAATAACACAAGAACATTCAACTTCTGCAGTAACTTCAATTTCAAACATCGGCAACAAGGCTAATACTTGTGATAGCTGAATGAGTTTTTACTTCAAAACTTAACTAAGGTTGGCTCATAAGAGACTTCAGTGGTCAAGAACTGAAGTTTAATCATGACTACTGAAAGTTGTATGAATGATATATATAACAAGGTAAAGGGGATTTTCGGAATAGTAGATGAACTTACAGGTGCCTAGGTTGATTCAGGTAATTCAAGACTGTCTGCATCATGCTGTGCATTTGATCATTGAATTGGTTCGGAAACTGAAAAAGATTCTTCGATAACTCATCAAGGACACAAAACTGCTCATAAAATTTTGAATTCTAGACTGGATCTGTCTGTTACCTGATTAGATGGAGCGGTTTGGTATGGCTTTGCAGGGGTTGACATTGTTGAATATGGCATTTGGGGTATAGGAGTCGCAGCAGCCTGAGCAATTGGACCGCCCTGAAGTAACTGAGGTTAGTATATAACATGAAGAAGTTTCAAGATGTGGAACAAAGCTTAAAGTCAAGGTGAAGGATAGGCTAATACCCGTGTCTTGGTATTGTACTTGTGGACATACATACACTCAATAAAGTGGTGTACAATCTCATTGAAGTCAACGACAGGCCTGGAAGCATATTATTAGACTTCAGTATATATCTTTCAGATGCTGCAAGTTCATTTACTTGAACAAAGCAAAATAGAATATGTAACAAAAATAGACTGATCGAGAAAGTATATCAGGAAAACAAAGGTACCTGATTGAGAAAACATTCAAAGATCGCTTCCCTTGAAAACTTTTCAGGTGTCCATGTAGGCGAACATACATTCCCAGCCTGTAACAGATGTGCACTATCAAAATCTGATACCATACCAAATCAAAGGATATACAAATATAATGCAGAAACATACTTGACTGCTTCCATTTCTTCAGTTTCTTGACGTTCGTGACACCTACAGATTATTGTCCACAGTGAATTAGCAAGATACAGTTGAGTTCTTATGAGTTAATGACAGCATCTTCATATTGAGGTTCTATTAGAATTAGAATTGAAGTACCCACCATCTAACACAGTCGACCCAGCCTGTACCATCATCTACAACAAAATCGACCTGAGTGATTCTGTTCTCCATTCTAGTAACTCGTCCAACAATTGCAACCTAAACACAGATAACACCAAATCTCAAATGCTTGACTCCAATAAGAGATCAAGGCATAACATATCAGCAAAACCAGTTCAACTGCAGAAGAAAATAAGAGCTTACAGTGTTAATATCAACGCCGTCTATTGAGAAATTTGATTCACCATTGGTTGATACACTATTCAACTGCTTCAGAGTCAGGGGAAGCAAAGTACGCACCTCGCGATTCTGCAAAACAGTGGTGAAAACTCAAATACATTGCTGCTTTGCTCAACATACGATGTTCTATATCCAGATTCACAACTCCACAAAACATATAGTTATTGTAAAAATCACGAACAAATTCACATTTCCAGATCTCTCTAGTCAACCATTTGTTCTTCGATACTTTGTCCTAGAAAGCTCGAGTGGAATAATCATGGCTTTTCTGATGATTTTCCCGAGAAACGACTAGAAATCGAGAGAATCGGATACACAAAGCAAGTATAGAGCAACGAAAATGAAATCCGCATGATTCGGCAGAATCTTAAGCATCGATTGCAGAAAAAGCGGAAAGGATTTATCAAGTTTCTCGAGGGAGAAGAAGATTAGAGAGACCAAACCTTGAAATTGGAGGAGTCAGGGGCTTGAGTAGTTGCCTGAGAAGGCATGAAACCGCCGCCGGCGAAAGCAGCGTTGCCGTCGAACTCGCCTCCGTACATGATTTAGTTGCTCTAGATCGAAACCCTAACGGAATTGGAAGGCCCTTCGCTTCGACGGAAGTAAATTCGATTTAGAGCTTAAAGTAGGTTTCTGAAACTTCCCATAGAAGCTGGAGTAAATTAATATCTACAAATTACAAAATTCAGCTATTTCCTATACCAAAAATTAATAAAAATAACAATTAAGGGAATATTTGTATATAGTTCCCGCCAACAATCCTCCTCCATTTTCCCGCTACAAATTCCCAAAATATTTTCGAAGAGAGATTTTCTTTTCCAACTTTTCGAAGTGAGATATTAATTTTCAAAAGCATATGTATTTGTCTTATAATCTGATACAGCGTTATTTAAAAGTTTAATTTTCTTTACAATATATAGACACGCGTAGGAGAAATTATATATTTCACACATATATGCAGTTGGTAACTATAATTTGAACAAAATAAGATAAAATAAATTTCTGTTGGCTACATTTTTATTTTGTTATACATGATTTGGATGACAATGAAATGATGATTGAATTTGATTGGTAGCTTTAAACCATTGTGGTTGAAAACTAAGTACTTTTTTAGTTTCTTATTTGCAATTTATGTAATCGGTTTAAATTAACATAGATAAAAATCGGTTAAACATATTTTTTGACCGTTAAAAGTGATTTTAAATGTCTAAAATTATGGCGGTTGGCTTTTTTTATGTCTTTAAGTTGTTTGCTATGTATTTTTTTAAAAAAATATAAATTTGATTTGTAATACTATTCAATTAGTTATCAATCAAAAATATTTCATAACCAGTGTTTTTATTATATTGCTATTATTATACTGGTGTATAGTATTACTTATTTTGATCGCAGTATATTTTTTTCACCACAAACTGACTCTTGACATTGCCAATCTAATCCTATACAATCGATGATAATCTTTTACTAGTATGTTTTAATGGCTTTTTGGCAAAATTTTAATGACGTTTTCTAGAATAAAAATAGTGTATTTTTCTGATTGTGATATTTTGAAGAAACAAAAATAAGAAATTTGTATCTATCAAAATATTTATTAAAAATCGCATTTGAATCGGACTAACGATATATATATATATTTTTTTATTTTAGCACAATGGTTATTCTTCTTTGATTGAGGTTTTATTTCGAACCAAAAAAAGGTCAGTTTCGTCATTAAAAGCCCACGTTATAGTCTTTTTTAACCTCATAATCTTATGAATAAATCGAATATTTACTGTTTATACGTTAATTTGGTCGTTATCGTTTCCGTTTATCTCGTAGGATCGGAAAGCGAATCGGAATT